TCACATTTCCCTGGACATCTTGATTTCCCTTTAGATGATAATGGTATCATCCAACATGTTCAGAGTTGGAGGCAGCGTATTGCTAGCAGTCGGAATATTGTCATTGTTGGGGGAGGTGCGGTTGGAATTGGTACGTTCATTTTACTCTTTGACTAAATCGTAGACGCTGAACTCGCACCTGTGGTTCAGAGATGTCCGGAGAAATTAGAGATGCTTACCCAGTGTGTTCCTTCCTGATGACAGCTACATCCACGTAAACTACTGACCACCTTCCAAGACCAAAAATGTGACCCTTGTCCACAACAACTGTCTGCTCCTAGACGATACTTATCCGGACAGATTTCGTATGGATATTGAAATTGGCCTGCGTAAACGAAAAATAGATATGGTCTTTAATGAATCGATGTCTAGCGATTCTAAAGGCCTACTCCCAATATCCGACGGCCAAGATTTCCTGCGGTGCGATCTGCTGGTCAGTTTAACGTGATAGATGTAGTCTTCCATTCATGTTGGACTTACCGTGCTTACTAGATACCAGCGCGCGGAGGCCGTCCAAACACTAATTATCTTCGTTTCTTGCGACCTTCCATCCTAACGCCGTCTGGACACATCAAGGTTCACTCAACATTGCAAGTCAAGTCGCATCCCAATATATTTGCCCTTGGGGACATCGTAGACTGGCCAGAAGTCAAAACCTTGTCGAAAATTACTTTCGGCCAATCTGCGGTTGTTATTGGCAACGTTTCGAGCTTCATCAAGGGGAAAACCCTGAAGAAGATCTACAAGGGCACGTCAGAAGTTCTTGCGGTCAGCAACGGCAGCGTACGTCGTTATTTAGCCCCCATTGTATCTTCTAAAGTTCCCATCTCCGTGCTTAGAATGCAGGTGCATCATATATCGGATTCCTTGGTGGGCTTACCCTTGGGAGCGGCCTGACCACGATGATCAAGTCGAAGGACCTTGGAATTAATACTGCCCGACGGATCGTAGGCCTTCCAGCTGGCGTCGAAGAAGAGGAGTACGAGTAACCTAGGTTGCTTTACCTTATAAGTTATCGTTTATTTTACACCTATTTTTGACTCTACTCGTACTACGTATCTAATTGCTCTTTAATTCTAGTTTTTTAGACTCAATGCCAGCTTACTTGGGAGGGAAAAACGGGGAGAAAAAATGACTGGGAATTGACTCCATCGATATTTGTAAAAACTCTCAATTTTCGGTTTTCTGCCTATCTAAGCTACCCTAAAGGCTGTTACGAGCCTACCAGTCTTTGTCTTCATGGCATTAAAAAATGCCAATGTTTATTTTTGTTGATATATGTACGCACCTTTGCACCCTGCTTTCACGGGCACATGGTGTAGTTGGTTATCACGCTCGCTTAGCATGCTTGTATGCGAGAGGTGTTGGGTTCAATTCCCAATGTGTCCATGCTTTTTCTGTCTGACTCTTGCACCTTCCCGATGTTTCAATGTGGGAAGTGCCTCAAAAACAGCGTGAGCTGCTCGTATATATCCAATCTTCATTGCAAAAGAAAACGTGAGATATAACTATGATACTAACATCATACAGCAATGAAGATGATCTTTCAGAACGATCTGCACAGCTGAACTTGCATCGCTAATATGAGTGTGAATCGGGATTGTGTCATTCATACCTCCCACTCTCTTTTCTAATCAAGGGACTCTCGAGCGGAAATCGATCAAGCGATCTCTCGTCTGACTTATGGATGAATGAAAAGGTTGTCTCCCTAAATTCAAGTTCACGTGTTGTGCGCAGCAAAGTTCATCAATCTTTTTGAGAGCTCGAGGTTGTTCCTTATGACTGTCACTGCCTCCTCAGAAGAAAATGCCTCACGTTGATCCATCGGCGGTGCCGACATTGATGAAACGTCGTCGTACAGACTCTTTGCATTCCGAGGTTACTGGGGGTCCACTAGTTACTGTTTCAAGATCTTCTTTCTGGCTTGAGGATGGAAGCGTCGTCCTTCAAGCTGAGTCTACCCAGTTCAAAGTTCATCGAACGATATTGTCGAGGCACTCGAGCGTTTTCAAGGATATGTTCGCTATAGTCCGTCCATCAGAATCGGAGCCTTCCGTTGAGGGTTGTCCGTTGGTTCATCTTTCCGACTCAGCTCAGGACGTCACATACCTGTTAGAAGCACTATATGACCAGTAAGCTTGAAACACCATCCAAATTTGTCTTGTATTTGCCCCTAACCCAGTAACTATCTTGCGTTTCAATAGAACGTGTACATCACGAAGGGTTCTCCCTTTCCCTGTAGTCGCAGCGATGCTTCGTCTAGGCACAAAATATGACTTCAACGCACTAAGGGAGGAAGCTCTTTTACGCCTTCGTTCAGAATTTCCTTCTTCTCTCGAAGAATGGGAGGTTTTGCCCTCCAATTACACACATATACAAGATCACGATGGGATTTTGTTCGACATTATCAACCTGGCTTTGGAGCAAGGCATCGGCTCTATTCTACCCATGGCATATTATCTATGCATCCAAGACTTTGTCTGTTTCTTAAATTAAAACATTAGACTCGAGTATATTGACACTAACAGTCGATTTAGGATGATATCTTGAACGGCATACCCCGCGAAGATGGGACGACCGCTCGAATCCCACCTGAGGTCCAGCGAACTTGTATCCTTGGCAGGGAGAAGATCCTCGTCGCCCAAGCGGAGAATACTTTGAGCTGGCTGGACAACGACTACATCAGTCTCACTTGCTCAGAACGGGAAGTTTGCAAAGCGACCTGTGCCAGCCTTGTCAGATGGGTGTACAAGCCACAAGCACACCCAGGGCGAAGTCTAGAGAAATGGTCACAGCTAAGCAAAGGGCCTCTGTGTCCTATGTGTACTGTCGATGGCAAAGAAACGCACGAGACAGGCCGTCGGGCGATGTGGGATATGATGCCCGTATACTTTGGTCTTCCACCTTGGGAGGAGCTCAAGGATCTTGATCGCTAGTTTAGCACAATTTTGGCTTCTGTCGAAGACACACTCTGATGCTGGTCATTGGATTAACACAGGCGACAGAGTGGTAGTCAAGTTCAGATACTATACATCCAGCCTCTCCCGCAGCGCGATGTATACATTTTCGTAGCAGGTTTCAATGGTGGACAGGTATTCGTCTGAATTGTGATCTGTCATGTTTCCTGCCGGGACATCGAGCTTTGAATAATGCGTTTTATCAAAACATTCATGAGTTGTGCGTAACGAAGAACTCACTGTAAACGAAGGCTCGTATAAAGGGAAGCCATTATGGTCTGGGATACTTGTTTCAAGATCGAGTGGGTTGTCTAGCTGAACGAAATTTCAGGGAAGGAAGATACATTAATGAAGGGAACTCACCGTTATTGAAGTAAGATAGGCCCATGCCCTAGCAGCATTTGGCGAATTATAACCACCTATTAGTATCTTTCCTTTCAGCAAGGTTCTTTGAATGCCAACAAGCCCACTTACCACCGCCAAGCAACACTTTCTTCCCCCTCCACTCCCTAACAATCCTCTCTACACACCACCCCATACTCCCCTCCACCTCCCTATCCAAGCACCAATTAAACGTCCCACAAGGGTCTCCAGCTAGCGCATCAACGCCACTCTGAACAATCACATAATCCGGATCGAAAATCGAGCGAATCCTCTCCACAACATTTGTGAATACCCAATGATACGTCTTTGCAGAGGCACCAAGCAAAAGAGGAATAGAAAGCGTAAGCGGGTCGAAAATTGTCGATGACGAAGGTGAGTCGTACGGCGGGAGCGAAGATCGAGATGAAGAAGGGTAAAATCCGGGAGAAGTATGATGGATACTCAGCGTCAATATCTGAGGTGCCGAAGTCGACCTAGGCGCGTAAAACGCCTCTGAAACCGCATCTGAGAAATGCAGATCCAGGTCTAAATACATAATTCTCGGTTTTCGTTTCTGAGTCGCAGCCTGGATGCCATCTTCATCTGAGCTCAAGGTTTTAGCCATCAACGGGACGGGGTCCACACTAATCATCGCCTTCTTCAACGCCAAAATGGCCAAAATACAATCCGCAACATAACAGAATCCAGCCGCTTGATCTTTTCGTGCATGATGTCTTCCACCATCCCAGCAGATGGCAACAGAAGCCAAATTCTGCTGAATTGCAGCAACGGCTGTAAGTGTCGCTCCTCCGACGAGCTGGATGTACTCTGAGAGCCCAGGAAAGATCGGGCAGTCCTAATAAATAAATCAAAGAAAGTTAAGAGTCAATTCAATTCGATGGCCGCAAAAGACAAGCAACAAAAGAGCATACGAACGTCCTCCAATCCAAACTCTCTATCAATCTCCACAGCATCAACGCTCAGACCTTTAAACTTATCACTCAAACTCCCATTCTTGGGATTCAAAACAGCCTCCAAATAATCTCTCGTATGATAAACCGCCAAATCCTTATACGTCGCTTTCCTCGGTGTAACAACCTGTACGCGCTTCTTCTCTGAGAACTTGGGGTTCAACAATCCCAGAGAGTTGATCAACGAATGAACGAGTATAGACCGCTTTTTATTCGATGGGAGGAGAGAGGAGATCTATACACGAGACGAGGTTCAAAAATGTAACATAACACGATAGTAATCGCACCAAAAATTTAGAGCGCACGCACCTTGACGAGCTCCTGCGAAACGACATACACAATTCTCCTCATAGGATCAACCGGAGCTACAGATGAAGATGAACCCACAGCCTCGGCCATCTCTATATTAGGTATCTAAATTTCCTTTATTGTCAGTTGTGGCGCATGTCCGAGTCGCCGAGCCAGCTTGACTGTGTTTTGTACCGAGATCAAAGAGGTAAGGAAGCAAGAGATGTAGTGAGAAGTTACGTTTTGACACTTGTGGGAATCCTTACGACAAAAGCAAGCGCAATCTTATCTAGGCTACAGTACCTATAGTATGCACGTACGTCTGAAGAGAACTCAACGCAATGGTGGGAGACCAAAACAAAAAAAAAAGAGAACAAAAGAATGGACACATTGGGAATTGAACCCAACACCTCTCGCATGTTCATCACCTTCGAAAGGCGATTGCAAAGCGAGCATGATAACCAACTACACCATATGCCCTTGTCTGTTTCGCTGCAATTGTGCTTGACAGCGCGTGTTTCTGCGGCGACGAGAACAAAGCGCAAAACTTCAGTTTCAAGTCGAGAATCAAGATCTCAACAAAGACAATTCTATACTTCACTATTGACCAGGGGGTATAAGTACCTATATCTTCGCATTTTACATCTACATCTACCTCTATAGATCTACCTCTCTACCCCTCCTGCCTATCTCTCGTCCAATAGATCTACATAAATTCCAATCCCATCCCGACCTGCACACCCCTACTCCCTCTATCACTCCGACTACTCACAACCGGCACCCCAAAATTGACTTCCAGCCTCACTGGATCAAATCGATAGATCATACCTACACCCGCTGAGATAGATGGTTTTGAGAGCGTTTGGGCGAGAGTTTGCGAGAGCGGGAGAGCTATACTCATGTTAGCCAAGTGGTAGTGAAAACAAAAGTGGGCCAAAAAAAAATACATACTCTGATCAACACCATCCAACCGTCCCGCGTTAACCCATCCATGCATCTTAACAGGCCAATGTCGCTTGGTTGGTACATCTGAAATCACACTCATTCCAGCAGAGTAGTATATCTGACCGCCTATACTGTCGTCTGTCGAGCGGAAGAAAGAAGAAGAAAAGGGGGAGAGAACGCGTCAGTATGAGACACAAGCGAAAAATAATCAGAACAACGTACTCCCGTCTCTGGGACCCATCCCATTCGCTTTAAACCCTCTCACACTAGTCGGTCCTCCAAGCTGGAACCGATCAGAAAACAACGTGGTTGGTTTTCTCCTGCCTTCACTTCCACTTCCATTTTGGTCGTCGTAGGATGCAGAAGAGGGTGAACCAAGACCCCACAGAAGCCCTGAACGCGCGGCTAACGAAACAGACTATAAATCACCAACAAAAAGCGCGTGAGTTATCGTTCTCAGAAAAAAACAACAAGGAACGTACAACACCGCTCTCCCATAACCCCCTCGACACCTGTCCCTCCACCTCAATTTTATAAAATTTGGCATCGCCTCCAAGTCCAATAGCGCCTAACCCCGTCTCAGTTTCCCCACTTCCTCCTTTCCCTGTCGCCGGTGCTGCTTCACCACCTATAGAACCCAACGAAGCCAATGACCCCAGCGACCCCCCAGCCAATTCTTGAAACACCTTGACATACCCACCCTTCTTCGCAGCAATCCGATCATCTCTCGTGTCATACATGAATGTATGCGAGAGCGATGATTTGAAAGAGGAGCCAGACTGTTCGCGCATACTGTTCGAGATATGACCATGCAGAGATAGATGGGAATGGGATGATATCAGCATAGTGTTGACTTGCACAAGAACGGAAGAAAAGAGAGAAGGGGAAGAAAAAGGGAGGAGGACGTGTAATATGGAAGCGGAGAACGCATAGAAAGCAGAACGCGTCTGAAGGAGGGCGGAGCCACCCACCCACCCAGCCTCCTCCCATCCTTCAAAAACCAAAAGAACATTCAACATACCTAATACTCGCACCCCCCTCCAACCCTCCCAAACTCCTCCTAACACCCTCCCACCCAAGCTCATGCATACCCCCCTTATCCACTTCTCCTCTCTACACAAGTTCAATCAGTTTTTGTAGTAAGACGAAAATGAAAGATACGCACCCTCACAAAGGCCTTGACACCTTTGACGCCCTCCCAACAGCTCGCATACGTCGTTAGATCTCTCTCCTGCGCATAGGCCTCCACCATCCCTAATGTATCCATTGACGGTGTCAAAGGGAAGGACAGGGAAGACTTGAATGAACGACGCGTCTTCGTCCCGAGAGAAAGCGACGCTTCGAACGTCTCTGCTCCTCCGAGGATGTTTCGGATGCGTGTTGTTAAGTTCTGTGAAATGGGAGGGCGGGGAGTCAGCGTTTGGTTTATTGGATTTTGCGAAGCATAGGAAGAAAACGATAGATGCAAAACACGCAAAAGTAACACAAATCGTCGAAAAGTATACAACGAGAGCATAGGCAGGAATACGAAGAGAAAAAAATGCAAAAAAGAAATAGACACTAACCGCACTACCCTCACTATTTCCCAACTCCGTACTACTGCTCACGAAAAACCTTCCCTTTTCTTTCGTCTTGAATACTAGATCCACTATTTCGCCATTCTCTTCTATTCGAGAGCTCAATGGATCCTTGGGGCGGTCGATATATGCCTCCACCGAGGAGAAGATATCCGTCTTCCGGAGCGAGTGCGAGATGGACCGCGTTGCATGGAGGATATCTTGTAGGGTAGTCACGGAGCCACGGGAGGAGGACGCGTTTTCGGAGCCAGAACCAGAGCCCGCGCCAGACGTTGAGTTAGCGCCAGAGGGCGTCGCGTCGGGAGTATTCCCAGAAGTAGAGCTGAAAGCAGACCCCGAAGTTACAGGATCGACAATAGCTTTCAAAAACGATTTACGGGTGTTGGTAGCTCCTTCGATGCGGACTGCTGAAAGTGTGACTGGGGTGTTTAAATTTGATGTTATCTGTTGCAAGGAGGAGAACGCTGGTTAGTTTTGATTGTTGTAGGAGGAGGCAGGAGAGCGAGAGAGAGAATAGAAACCCACCACTTCACCCAAATGCAACACAGCACTCTCGTACTCTCCTCTCAACTTTCTTTCAATCCTGTCTTGTTGCCATTTGAGCAGTTTGTCTACGTCTTCCTTCTCTTTTTGTCCCGGTTTCCCATTTTCTGGTTTGCCATTTTGAGGATGAGGTTTCGGCTCGTGCTCACGAGGAGACGATGTATTGTGTAATGGACCGCGGATAGAGTCTGCCATTTCTGAGAATTACACTGGCAATGACACCAGGAGCAGCGCACGCAGTAGCACCAGTGGAAGTCGTGGTCACGGTGGTTGAAGTGAGGAACGAAAAGCAAAGCACTGGCAGTGGGAAAGCAAAAAGCGTTTGACAGCACCGGACCGAAATACCGATGGTCGTAGAACGCGTTCGCTCTTGGTTCAACGCCATGATTTGGACTCACCGTGCGAGTATCTTGGGTATTGGATAGTAAAACTCAAACACTATGGAAGCGGTTCTCGGTTCTCAACATTTGACATTCAACCTTCAGCACATCGACGACATGAAAACTCGGGCACGCTGCATCCGACTCCCTCTCAGGATTCTCAATACAGCAACCATTGCTGGCCATACAGTATGAGTCTTCCTGTGCAGCGCTCCTCAGGTCCCCTTTCTCCTAGCGCAATACCAAGTTCCATGGTCGACTCGAATATACTCGTTTCATCTTGAATAAAGGACACAGTAAGTTTTTCAATGTTTCATTTTCTCGTCGGAATTTTGCTAATCTTCGATGAAGCAGTCGTAAACCGACAGGAAAGCGCTCTTCAAGCCGAGTTTTGGTCGTTCTAGAAGGGTCTGGCCCGTCAAACCCAACCCATCCCAACCATACATGGAACAATTGTTCAAAATTCCCCATTTTTACTCTCTGGCTGAGCATAAAGACCCAAGGCCCAGTATTCAAGTCTCAAGATTTCCACTTACAATCGCCGAGTGGTCACTCTAACCTTTGGCGCCGGCTAACACCACAACCAGCACCAGGACCACCCTAACGTTACCTTCTTCACACTAACTCTGGAACGGTGGTATTTTGATCTCTCCAGAGGCGTTTCTCTCGACGTCCCACTGCGATCACCTCAAGCTCAGGTCCAGGTTCGCATCCCGTATACCGTTACGGTATAGACAGCATACACCAAATACCCGTACTCCATCCGCAATTCTTCATCTTCCAGCCTCACCGCCATCCTACTCGCGACGCTATCCCCAGCGAATCTGGGTGAACATCCTCACTCGCACAGGAACTAGCTCCGGCACCTGAATCGACGTTTGAATTGGTCGTGGCGGTAGCCGTAGCCGCAGCTCTGGTGTTGGAATAGGCTCCAGCACTACCTCCACCTACGTTATAATTATGCGTTACAAGTCGCATCGGTGTAGCTCGATCGATGTCTTGCCTCTTGAAAAACTCTACGCCTCAACCCAATCACTCAAACATCGTGGCTAAACACTCAACACAACGGCCAAACGATGCGATATATAAGGTCCAGGATTGAATATGAAGAATAGGTCATTGTACATCAAGTCAAATCGCATTGCATTGCACCAACAGCGGCAGATAGCCAACTGTCGATATCCCTCAGGCTCAGGCTCATCCCATCATCTGAGTCACAGAACCGACTGGTTCGTCGGGTTTGGGACAACGCCTTTGTCTTGCGAGAGTTTCGGTTTTTCGATGCCAATACTCAATTCCCAACTCGATCTCCAGCTCAATCTCGCATCCACAAGATCCCAAAGCTCAAAGTTCAAAGCCCATCCAACCTTGAGCTACTAACCAAACGCGTCATGATCGTCAAGTCATAATATCAGTATTTATCTATCAATTATCCTAAAGATATAATAAATAGTATCCGGTTATCACTGAGCACTCTTAGCTCGTGCTTCACCAGTAAATGGCTCCCAGAGTCTCTCCAAGTCAGTAAGTGATTCTGGATCAATACCAGCCGCTTTCATCTTGGAGAATGAACTTTGAAGCCTAGTAACTATCAGATATTTGTTTGTGAGTTGGATATAAAATGCAGAATGCACACCTGAATTCTCGAACAAAATTAAAGATCTCCGTAGCCAACTTTCGATCTGCTTCCTTAAGGGAGGCACCAAGAGCCCAACGAGAATTGCGAAGCAGAGTCACAACATCTATGCGGTAGAACTTCTCCCGCGTGTGTGGCGAAGCGTGGATAAGAGCACTGAGGAAAGGCCGACACATCTCCTTTGTGAGTGTCCCGCTCAGACTGGACCCCGTAATATTGCAAGTCAGGCCTGATTGTAGCCGATAGATCAGTCTAGTCAAGGTACTCTTGTCGATATCATCAACTGCGAATTGGACAATTAAATTCGCCATTACTTGTCGATGTCGCTCGATTTCTGACTAAAGACAGGTCAGAGTAGAAACATAATAAGATTGGGTACTACTCACTATGAGCCATATA